AGACTTAGGTAATAACTTGGCCGAATCAATATTTTTTCTTGTAACATGAAAACAACTTGTATTCTGAAGCAAGACCGAGTGGATTTATTCGGATTTGTGCTTCTCTTTGAGCTAGACCGATTGGATTCATTCGGAATTGCGTTTCTTTCTAAGAAATACCGAATGGATTCATTCGGATTTGTGCTTCTCTTTGAGCTAGACCGATTGGATTCATTCGGAATTGCGTTTCTTTCTAAGAAATACCGAATGGATTCATTCGGATTTGTGCTTCTTTCTGAGCAAGACCGAGTGGATTCATTCGGAATTGCGTTTCTTTCTAAGAAATACCGAGTGGATTCATTCGGATTTGTGCTTCTTTCTGAGCAAGACCGAGTGGATTCATTCGGATTTGTGCTTCTTTCTGAGCAAGACCGAGTGGATTCATTCAGAATTGCGTTTCTAAGAAATACTGAATGGATTCATTCGGATTTGTGCTTCTTTTTGAAAAATACCGAATGGATTCATTCGGAATTGTGTTTCTTTCTAAGAAATACCGAATGGATTCATTCGGATTTGTGCTTCTTTTTGAGCAAGACCGATTGGATTCATTCAGAATTACATTTCTTTCTAAGAAATACCGAGTGGATTCACACGAAATTGCGTTTTTGCGTAATTTTCCGAAGGCACATCCTTGGCCGAGTTGGTTAACTCGGAAGAGAGGCCTTTTTGTGCGATTTTCCGAAGGCACATCCTTGGCCGAGTTGATCAACTCGGGAGGGAAGCCTTTTTGCGTGATTTTCTGAAGGCACATCCTTGGCCGAGTTGATCAACTCGGGAGGGAAGCCTTTTTGCGTGATTTTCCGAAGGCACATCCTTGGCCGAGTTGATCAACTCGGGAGGGAAGCCTTTTTTGAAAAAGTACTGATGGAGAGAAAAGAATTGAACAAAAGAGAAGAATTGAACGAGAGAGAAGAATTGAATTGCATTTCATTGATTTGTGCCTCATTAAAAACCTTGTCGGCCAAAACCCCTTTTCACTTTTTTATAAGGGGAGAAAAGACCGATCAAGGAAAAGAGTGCACCATGCATGTATATTGATGATAATTTCCTTCGGTTACAAGCATGTCTAGCTAAAATACATTTTCAAATGAGTTGAGTTCCAGGTGCGGGGGATGGTTTTTCCCGATAGCTCTTCTAACTTGTGCGCTCCATTTTGAAGGCTGTGTCGGATTCTGAAGGGGCCATCCCAATTGGCTGCTACCTTTCCCTCGCGGGGGTTGCATCTAGCCGATCCTTGCACTCTCCATACCAGGTCACCTTCTTTAAAATTACGTTGTGTGAGGTTGCAATTATACCTCCGAGTCATTCTTTGTTTGCACGCTTCGGCAACGAGATGAGCCCGATCGCGCACCTCATCAACCATATCAACCTCAGCCCAAAGCGATGTGTCATTAGAAGCCTCATCAAAATGTGTTCGGCGAAATGATGGCTCCCCAACTTCAACTGGGATCATTGCTTCCGTACCATATGTTAACCTGAATGGTGTTTCTTGTGTTGTGGATTGGGGGGTACAACGATAGGCCCATAGTACCTCTGGAAGTTCTTCTGCCCATAACCCTTTGGCATCCCCTAAGCGTTTCTTTAACTCCGAAAGAATTACTTTGTTGGTCGCCTCGGCTTGACCATTCGCTTGAGGGTGTTCAACTGACGTGAATCGGTGTTTGATTCCTAGTTCTTCGAGGAATTTGTTGAACTTGTGATCGACAAATTGGAGTCCATTGTCAGTTGTTAGAGCATAAGGAATTCCAAAACGTGTGACAATATTCTTCCAAAGGAACTTTTGAACGTTGTTGGCTGTGATAGTGGCAAGTGGCTCGGCCTCTATCCACTTAGTAAAGTAATCAACGGCGACTAACAAGAACTTGCATTGTCCTTTGGCAAGAGGAAAAGGCCCTAGTATATCCATACCCCAAAGGGCGAAAGGCCATGGCGAACTAATGGAGTGTAGTTGTTCGGCGGACGCATGAATTAAGTTGCCATGCTTTTGGCATTGGATGCACTTTTTGACATAATCCATACAGTCACTTTTGAGTGTCGGCCAATAGTAGCCGGCCCGAAGAACCTTTGCTGCTAATGTTCTGCCCCCCGAGTGCGACCCGCAGATGCCTTCATGAACTTCCCTCAAGACATAGTTGGCTTGTTCTGGGTCGAGACATTTGAGTAGCGGGGATGAAAATCTTGCAGCTTGAGTTCTCAACTTTTTGGCAGCCGAAGGGCATGATGGGTGAGCGCCTTCAGTGATGAAGCGCACAATGTCGGTCATCCATGTGACAGGTGGCTCGGAAACTGCCAAGCAATCAACCGTATCGACACTTGGTGCAGAAAGTTCCAGATGGAGAGTGGTTCGAAGTTGTCCCGGCTTGTGATTGCTAGTTGCCAGCCAAGCCAACTGATCGGCTCTTTCGTTATTTCCTCGAGGGGTATGTTTCACAAGTACTTCATCAAAATATTGTCATATTTTGGAATGTATGGTAGTACTTTAACAAATGAGCGTCTTTAACCTGGAAGTTATTATTCACTTGCTCCAATACAACTTTTGAATCAGTCCAACAAATAAGCTTCCTCACTCCTACTTCCCGGGCTAACCTTAATCCAACCAAAAGTGCCTCATATTCGGCTTGGTTATTGGAGGCTTTAAAAGCGAATCAGAGTGATTGCTCAAGTGTCAAGCTTGTCGGTCCTTCCAGAATTATACCTGCCCCCACTACCTTGATTGTTAGAAGAGCCATCAACATGGATCGTCCATGGAGCGTTCTCAAAATGTCCAGTCGGCTGTAATTCATTTATGAAATCGACCAAGTATTGCGACTTTATCGGACCTCTTGGTTCGAATGATATGTCAAATTCTGACAGTTCAATGGACCATGCCATCATTCGTCCTGCTAATTCAGGTTTCCTCAGAACCTTAGCGATTGGGCAATCCGTGCGTACGACTATTCGGTGCCCCTGGAAGTATTGCCGAAGTCTTTGTGCTGTGTGGACAAGACAAAGTGCTATCTTTTCAAGTAATTGATATCGTGTTTCTGATTCCTGCAGCATTCGGCTAATAAAGTAGATAGGCTTTTGGGTCTCGTGTTCTTGTATCAACATCGCACTGATGGCTTCCTGGGAAATGCATAAGTAGATAATAAGGTCCGATTGAGGGTCAGGTTTTGAAAGAATCGGAGGTGTTCCGAGACGCTGTTTCAACACTTGAAAAGCCGCTTCACACTCTTTCCTCCCTGGTGTGAACTTGTGTACTTTTTTCAGCAAACTCAAAATTGGTTTGGCTGTTTCTGTGAGGCATGGAAGAAATCTTGATAATGTCGTGAGCCGACCTGCCAACCGTTGTACCTCTTTCACACTTTGCGGGCTTCTCATGTCAATAACTGCTTGGCACTTGTCAGGATTAGCCTCAATGCCCCTAACCGAAAGCATGAATCCAAGGAACTTACCACCTGCGACGCCGAATGTGCACTTTTCGGGATTGAGTCTCATATCATATCGTCGAAGTTGCTGGAAAATTTCGACCAAGTCCGTGATATGGTTGTAGAGTTCTGCCGACTTTACTACCATATCATCCACATAGACTTCCATATTTCTACCAATTTGTTCCTTGAACATCTTGTTCATCAGTCTTTGATATGTGACTCCGGCATTCTTGAGGCCGAACGACATTACTTGGTAACAATAGTTGGCCGAACGGTGATGAAAGCGGTCTTTTCCTCATCCTAGGGGTGCATTTGAATTTGATTATATCCTGAATAGGCGTCAAGAAAAGTCAGCATGCTATGTCCAGAGGCCCTATCAACTAAACGATCAATGCTGGGCAACGGGTAAGCGTCTTTCGGGCAGGCTTTGTTGAGATTTGTGTAATCGGTGCACATCCGCCATTTCCCATTAGCCTTCTTAACCATAACTACGTTTGCCAACCATGTTGTGTATTGCACCTCCCGAATAAACTTTGCCTCAAGCAGTTTAACTACCTCGTTCTCAATAGCCATTTTCCTTTCGGTTCCCATTTTCCTCTTCCGTTGAGCTACTGGTTTAGCTTCCCGGCAAACGGAGAGTTTGTGACACATCACTTTTGGGCCAATGCCTGGCATATCAGAAGGTACCCAAGCAAAGAGGTCCTTGTTTTTATGGATGATCTTGCCCAATGCTTCTTTTTCCGATTTGGCCAATCCGGCCCCGAGATATGTGACTTGGGAAGTTTCCGAGCCGATCTGGAATGCAATCTTCTCCTCGGTTGATTCCTTTCGTTCGTCCTCATTCATTCTGGGATCCAAATCCCAATTTGAAGATGTATCTGCTGCTAGGGGGTTCACCACATGAACTCTCTTTGATTTTGATTGTGTTTCTTCAACAGGAGTTACTTGTAGACTAGCGAAGTAACATTCTCGGGCTGCCTTCTGATCGGCATGAACTGTGAGGATTTTCCCTTTTTCAGATGGGAATTTCATTGCCAAATGCGGTGTGGAAATGATAGCGCCCAACATATTCAATGAGGGCCGACCCAGAAGAATATTGTAGGACGTATTAGCGTGTACTACTATGTATTTGACCTAGATGTCTTTATACTCCTGCTCATCAAAACAAAAGCGAGTAAAAAGTTTAATGTACCCCTTGGTACTTACCCTCTCCCCTGAGAAGCCGACTAGTGGTTCGTCATATGGCATAAGTTCTTTCTCGGAGATACCCAGTTGTTTGAAAGTGTTCCAATACAATATATCTGCCGAACTGCCTTGATCCACCAGTGTCTTTCTAACGATGCAGTTGTGAATTTCGACGCTAATCACCATGGGATCATTCTGTATGGGATCTATGCCTTGGAAATCGGCATCGGTGAAAGTTATGGCCGGTAATCTCCGAACAGGTTGTCTATCGATTGTGTTGACCGACCGCACGACACGCAAGTGTCTTTTTCGGGCCGAAGAAGTAAAGCCTCCGCCGGCGAATCCTCCCGCGATGGTGTTGATGACTCACCTATGTGAAACTGTAGGTTCATCTTTTCTCTCTCGTGACCGGCTTCGCTCGCGACGAGATCTATCCGAACGGTCTTGCCTAGGCTGATCACGTCTCGATTGATATTGACGGGACCGAGACGAGCCAAGCCGATCAACAAAATTATGAAGCCGGCCTTGCTTGACTAACTCCTCAATTTTGTCTCTAAGGGTTGCGCACTCCTCAGTCGAATGTCCCCGATTACGGTGATACCGACAAGATTTACTGGTATCAGCGCGTGGAGGAGTGGAAGCCCTTTTCGGGACAGCCAGTATTTCCGTCGCCAGCGCCTGTTCAAGCACCGCGGATCGACTTGCGTTGAGAGGGGTATAGTGTGTATACTTCGATCCTCGCACGGGTCGGTCCCGAAGGGTTATCTCCTTGCCTCGCCCCTTGTATGGTTGCTCTGTTTGCTTCTCTGGCTTGCTTGATGGTTCGGCTCGGGCTTGATTGCGATATTCAGCCAATTCTTCCATTTGCATATACTTATCGGCCCGCCTTCGTAAATCATTCATGTCCGAATGAGGCTTTTTACAGATGCTATTAACAAACGGCCCAGGCTTTAAAGCTGTTGTCAGGTGATGCAGTGCAACAGCCAGATTGAGATCGCGGATTTCCAAAGCAGTCTTGTTGAACCGATCCATAAATGTCCGAAGGGACTCTTTTTTGTCTTGCCGAAGATTGACCAGGGATAGAGACGTCAAGCTATGAGGTCGGCTCGTTGCAAACTGAATTACGAACTGGGAAGACAATGTGTTGAACGAATCAATGGAGTTAGAAGGGAGTCGAGTAAACCAACTCAGGGCCCTGCCTTTGAGAGACGTCGGAAAAATTCGACACAAGGCAGCATCATCTGTTGTACTCAATGTCACCTGCATCAAAAAAACATCCAAATGTTCATCAGGATCTGTTGTACCATCATACTTATCAATGGGCAAGGATTTCCAGTTATCCATTAAAGGGATTTGCATAATGGAAGGAGTAAAAGGGTGACGATGCGAGCCAATAGTGGCCAAGTCTGTAGGACGACCAACAGTATGTTGAGCCGAAAGGATTATTGGAGGTGCCGCTGCCGAGGCATGTGGAGCCGAGGTATGGACCTCATGAGACTGATAGGACCCCTGGGTCGGCATGTTGGTCACTTGAGTGGGTTTCCAGGTCAGATCATTTTTTAGTGCTTCGTTTTCGGCTCTTAATGCCGAAAGTCCTTCGCATCCTTCTCCCGCTGTTGTTTCATCGCGGCCATCTCCTGTTTTAATAAACGAACGGTTTCCGAGAGGTCGGTCTCATCCACCACTTCAACACGCTCCTCCTCGAGCTGTTGTTCTACCGTATTCGTTCTCCTTGTTATCGCCATTATCTTGCTCAACTAATCTTCACAATCATCTCAGTTCAGCCCCACGGTGGGCGCCAAATGTACCTGCAAAAGGGGTACACCAGTAATCTTCTCGTAGTCTGAGACCGAATGAGAGCTCTGATCCAATGCACTGGTGAAGGGGTTGGTACCTGCAAAAGGCACTCCAACGCTCAAGTCAAGACAAGCACGAATATCTAGGATAATTAATGAACAGTGACGTTACCTCTTGACCTGAGTTATTTATACTGACATTTATGGGCCCTGGACCCCATGGGCCCTGCAACGTATTTATCGTATTAGGTAGTACACCTTAATCAGCTAATTAACCCCTAATCATGGATTAAGGGCAATGAGTAATGATGGGCCGATCCTGGTGGCCGACTGGCGTTCGACCACCTGGTTCTGCCATTCGGCGGCCGACGGGGTGGTGGCCGAACGCCCCTACTTGCCCCTACCAGTACATATTTATATATAGATAAAAGTTCAAATGATACCAGTATAATTTTTACTAAGTATTACACCACTTAATAATTTTATATTAAATGTACATTTTATAAATTCAATCATTAAATTAAAATTTATTTATTCTTAGATTATATATATATAATTTTATATTAATTTAAAATAATTTGATACTTTATTCTTATAAAATAAAATTAATGTAATATATATTTTAAAATATAATAAAATATAAATATTTTGATATAAATATATAAAAACGATACGAATTTTTAATTTAATAATTAAATTTATAAAATATATATTTAATATAAAATTATTAAACAATATAATATTTAATTAAATTATATTAATATGGATATTATTTGAATTCTCCTCTTTAATCAAATATTAGATTGGATTTCTAATTCAAACTCGACATTATTTTATCTTTTTAAAAATTGAGTCGACAAAAAATGATATCAACCCTAATCCGTGTCAAGGTTTATTTCCTTTTTTATAACAATACAGGATACAGATTTGACCATAACTGAGGGTTCCAATGCCAAATATGCTATTGCTGGCCATCTCTATTTTGACAATCATCTTCATGACCATACCATCATATCACCCTCAACATCAACACAACCATTAACTTCTAATTTTATATTTAGAATTTTTCACACATTTTTTTGCCACGAATTATCACTATTTTTATTTCTCGTATTTGCACTTCGCTCGAAAAAAAAATAATTAAGAATATAATATGTCAATTTTGTCGTTGAAGTTTTCCAATATTAGATAACCCCAAAAATATCTTTTGGACAATAATTCCAAGAAGAGGACATGTGGGATTAGAGTCTGGTCATCATCGTCGTCATGCAAATGCATAATGCCACGAGAATACAATTTGAATTTGGGAATTGGGAGTCCCCAAAATAAAAATAATTAACGTGGAATGACTATTCAAAGATTTAAAGTTTGTGAATATAGCTGTCAAAAAAGAAGTCTGTGAATAGAAAATATTATCTTGACTACTTTTGGGTTGAGCTGGTTATTAATCAATTACTGAATTATACGGCTCTACATTACAGACAAACATGGTAATTGTTGATAAGATCCACGTTCGGAATGGAGCCCACTATCTTTCCGCAAGTTGACAGCTAGATTGCTACACCTTAAGAAATGTATAAAAAAAGTTATTTATAAAATAATTGTCAACTTCTTTTACTAAAGTTATTTATACTTTAATTAAGTTCCGAGTTAATTTTTATTTTATATTTTTATTTATTATAAGATTCATACGAAATATTTATTATTAGAGCTAATAATTAATTTTTATCAAAATTATGAACGTACACAAAATATCTCTTCTAAATATAATATATTTTATATTTAAGATTAAGAATTAAAAATATAAGTAATTACTATTTATATTAATCAATGTTAGTCGACAACTAACTTTATACTTCTAAACATGTTAGGTTTTTTATAATAAAAAATTATTTATAAAATAATTATGAGGTTTTCATTGTATTTTTTATTTTTACTTTAAAACAAATACACATTTTAACTTTTGAATTATTATAATTATAACCATCAACTAAATTATTACACTTAATCCAGCGCAACTAAAATGCAGCGGAAAGATTTGAATAACATACAATCAACATAGGATTCTCACACAATAATTGTCTCGTTATTCATGATAATTATACATTTATGGGACAAAAAACATATTACTGAAAACACAAAATTTCCTTACGGGATTATATAATGTCTTGTGCATATATACAAACTACATCAACTATATAATTGTATACAAAATAAACTCTACTTGTCGGTCAAGTGTCTAAACATGACCTTTGGCTACATTAGAGTAGTAGCAACACAAAAGAGCCATACCAACATGACTCGTCACCAACCATCCAAGAAAACTTACTAATTTTGTCCTACTTTTATACCAAGTATGACTATTGTAATCTTAACCACAAGAGAAAAAAAAAAGGTAAGTTGGTGAAATAGAAATAACATACATATACATCAACTTATAACAATACAACATAAGCAATATGTTCAACATCCCATGCAACACTACATATCAACTTTCAACTTATAAACAACATCTCAACAACTTACAACACCACAACACATTTTAACAACTTCAACATAACAACATAATCAACATAGACAACAATAAGCAACTAATGTGTCGTAACGTATATAAATTATGGAGAGCTTCTACAACTGAGATGAACAATTTAAGTAACTAAATCTTATCAACCCACAATTTTTGACCTATTGCAACTAGGCCAAGTATAAATAACCTTAGACCTCAAAGAGTGTTAGGTATAGATTTTAATTTTGATTTCTTAGGTTTCGCCACTTAAATTATAAAGTCTAGTATTTTTATAAAGGTAGAATAGTTCAATTAAAGTCTACCACGACATTAGGTTGCAATACTAATTCTATGAGATTAGCATACCAATTACCCTTCAAATACTATGTTCTTTCAATACTCTTTTAGGGATTAAGTCTCTTGGTTGGTCACTTTATACATGTATGTTTTGACTTTACCCACATACGGATTCCACATAAAACATAGAGGAGACAATTTAAAGTAACTACCTATTCAAAAAGCCAACTTACTTATTAAAGGGTTTTAAACTAAACTCTTTGAGCACCATAACTTATATCCATATAGTAAGATATTTTTATTTCTAAAACATTTTTTACTCTCTTCTAGTTTTTGTGTATTTTAGCAAAGACATGCATATCTACCACTTGTCTAACAACTTAATCAACTTAATCGACTATAACATCTATATAATTACAATTTTATCATCTATTAACATGCAACTTAAAACATTATACATCTTACAACTTAATCAACTTCATCAATCTCATCGTAGACAACTTTAAACATCATCAATCATATCCATAATTATCATACTTCAACATTAAACAACTTAAAACAACATACTTCATATCTCTCAAAACTTGCCATCCAACCAGCCAAGACAACATGCAAACCAACATACAACATATATGCACCATAAGCAACATTGTTGTGCATCGAAGGTGACCACACACACATGTGTTCATAATGATAAGATATTGTCCGTTTTAGGCTTAAGTCTTCACGATGTGATATTTTGCTTACATCCCAACAAACACCAAACCAACTCAAAACAACACAAGCAATTATAAAAAATCATAATTATTGAAGTTAATCAAGAACACCATTTCAAGAGCACTTCTAACAACACCTCCGAATTGCAACCTTCACTAATTCAGTCATACAAGTGACGAATTCAGACAACAATACTAAACATTCAACATAGCAAATCAAATCACAGAGCTTCCCTTACCTCTAGTCAATCAACTGAGAAGAGGAGAAGAAGAAGAAGAGAACTCTATACGACTTTGACTTGAGATTTCCAACTTTAGGAACTTGAATCCCCAACTAGGCAAGCAAATAAACTATAGGAATGAAGAAGAAAATGATTTCAGTTAAAAGAAAAAAGAAGAAGAAGAAAAAGAAGAAGAAGAGAATTTCTTAAAACTTTAGAGAATTTCTCTGTAATTTTTTTTTTAACTTAAGGTTAACCTAACTTTATTTGAAACTATCCGTACAACTTAACTCTTCAGGATTTTTTTTGATCTCTAAAACAATCAAACAACAAAATAACAATAATTAAATTACAACATCTAAAACACGCCGTATTATAATTAATAAGTAATAATAACTTATGTGATATTCAAATTCTACCATTAAATATGAAAAAAAAAAGTAGAAAAGAGGTGAACACATGAGACTTGGAAAACCTGAAATGGACACGTATCAAGTTGTCTATAATAAGGAAAGGAAAGGAAAGCACGGGTTGGCGTGTTGACGAATGGAGTCCAAAACACAGCAACAGTTGGTTTCCTTTGATGATGAGTGTCCGACGAAGATAGAAGCATTGGCAGAGGATTGTGTTTCCAAAATTCTATCCTACACATCACCAGCCGACGCATGCAGATTCTCCATGCTCTCTTCATCCCTCCGCTCCGCCGCTGACTCTGACCTTCTCTGGCGCTCCTTCCTCCCTTCTGATCACACTCACATTCTCTCCAGGGCCCTCTCTCCCCTCACCCTCAATTCCTCTTCTTTCAAACACCTCTTCCACGCTCTTTCCCACCCTCTTCTCCTAGACGCTGGCAACATCGTATGTATTTCATAAATCATAATCATATACACATATGCTTCATTTTTAATAAATAACTTATATATATACACTATGCATGTAGAGCTTCAAATTAGACAAGTCTTCTGCTCAAAAATCTTATATCCTATCTGCCAGGGAGCTTTCCATCACGTGGAGCAATGACCCCTTGTACTGGTGCTGGAGACCAGCCCCTGAATCAAGGTAATTAATTATGTTACCGTCACTCTAATATATGTAGAAGAATCCAGCCACCAAAACCAGCCAAACAACTTTGCTGGTGTTTGGACTGATGATAATAACCTGCAACTCGAGGCCACCACTCAGTTTCGGAAGCTGCTTTCGATTGGTTCGGATTGGCTTCTGTGTTTAATATGCTGTTTGATGAATTTTAATGGACATTTGGTGAATTACTTAATTTGGTTTTTATGTATCAGAACGTAGTCCTCCAATTGAGGAGGTTATACAGACCGGTGTAGTTTCTCGCTTTGTTGAGTTCCTGATGAGGGAAGACTTTCCACAGCTTCAGGTTTCTACTTGTCTGCTTTGTTTTTGTTTGTCTGTTGAATTTGTGATTTGATTGTTACTTATGCTGATATTTGAATATCGAGTGTTGTACAGTTTGAGGCTGCTTGGGCTTTGACAAATATAGCTTCTGGAACGTCTGAGAACACCAAGGTGGTGATTGACCACGGGGCTGTCCCGATTTTTGTGAAGCTACTTGCTTCTCCTAGTGACGATGTTCGTGAACAGGTATATTTTACGTGTCTTAATGTGCTTTCGTTTACCTAAAACTTTGGGATCCAGATTTTTTTTGCCGGGTCAATGAAGTTAAAAGGGGGGCTCGTGATCGCAAAACGCGTTTGTGGATCTGGATATGTTTTTTGTGTTAATGATGTTGTTATGTGCATGCTTGCACATGCAAAAGAAAGGAATTTGGGGTGGGGTCGGAATGCTTGAGCTGGGTGTTTTTATTTATTGATATGCAGCTGACAACTGAAGATGGACCACAATAACTTGTAATTTCATTGTACCATGTGATCATTTACTAATTAAAAGGTTAACGTTTCATCCTTGGTGTTTTGGGTACCCACAGGCAGTGTGGGCATTAGGGAATGTCGCTGGGGATTCTCCCAGATGCCGTGATCTTGTTCTTAGTCATGGGGCTTTGCTTCCTTTGTTGGCACAATTAAATGAACATGCTAAGCTTTCCATGCTTAGAAATGCTACCTGGACGCTTTCAAACTTCTGCAGGGGCAAGCCACAGCCTCCTTTTGATCAGGTATGAATATATGTATTGCTTAATCTCTCCAAATAATTGTCTTATCGAATATATATATATATATATATATATATAT